CAATGGATATCATTTTTGAGAAAATTTTCTTATGGCGCTTCGTCTGGCGTAAATGATTCAGCTTTCAAAACAAATAGTTTTCATTTTAGTTGGAAATTATTTATATTCAAAAACATTCTCATGTTTTGCAGCACTGCTGCATAGTTTCAAACTTCGGTCATTTATTTGCTTCTGATTTATGAACAACGTAGCCAGAACTTGCGCAGTCTCTTTTAATGCTACATTTGAAATAGAAGTGGTTGCCGACAATGATTTCTATCGTGCACTGTGGCCACGTAAAACATGTCCTCGAGCACGATTCGCACTTATATTGTTCTCATATTGGACCATAAACATCGAGCAAGTTTCATTGTGCTCAATTTCGGTTTCGGGAGCACTCCTACTCGGAATTTTGGCTCCTAAATCATAGTCATGCTGTCTTATTGTGGAATTAACCTCTTCTATATATTTTAAATGGTCCACTATGTGCAAATGAGAATTGTCACTGCGTATTTTTTACATTTTGTAAGCATAGTCATTCTATTATCTCTCACAAAATTCTCACTAATTTGATCACATAAGACACAGGCTACAGAAGGTTGTGGAGCCACAGCTTATAAAATAATTAGGTATCTAAAGCAATTTATGGTGAAGAAAGCTCTGATTCACAATAATTGACGAGTTGAGTAGAGTTTGTGATGGTGTCGATTTGAATACTTCTCTTAACTGCAACAGTTAACTCTGCTTTCTATCTTCTTGTTAAAATAAGACAACTACGAAATTGTTCGATATGCTAAACTTGCAAGCATCTCCACCAAAAAACGTAGGTACTCGAACATTTCTTTGACTCCTATACAAAAAACTTCCTATCGTTGAGAGTAACTGAAAGAGGGAAAAAAGTTGTAAACGGAGAATACCATTGGCAAGATATGCATTTGATCTGTCGATTAAATCAAGAAATATGAGATTTTGCTTAATAGTACACGTAATTTGTCATGGTTTAAATAAAGTTTTTTAAAACTGCAAAGTAGTGATTTCTAAGAATCTTGAAGCTTTCAATAACAGCAAGCATATTCTATATTTTCAACATACATAGGAGAATAGGTATGAATCGGCTTTGATATCAAACAAATACACTCATTTTTTGCGTAGAACATAAAATTGATGTATAGGATTTACAGTGATCTTCCGGTCAATTCGAGGTTATGATGTAGGCACAATTGTGAATTACGAGCACATATTCTAAGGTATCGCATTATAATATCATCTTCTTTTTGGAAAGTAGAAAAATGCTTCATAAATGGAGTGATTCATAGTGGTTCAAGATGCTGATGGCGGAAATTGAAACTGATTCATTTCTATATTCAAATCATCTAGAAAAAAATGTTATCTACTTCATATTCACATTCGACGCACAATCTGGTGCAAAATTACACTTTTATCCTTTGTACTGGTACCATGCAACTGTTTTAGATTGCATATTTTGAATTTCCTAGCTTTCTTAGAAATCGGTCATTTCCCAAGCACATGGAAAGGTTTGTTGTATACACTGCCGTTTTCTCGTTGTTTGCTCTGGCCGATATTCTCAACACTCCTGCTTACGAAAATGGCTCGACATTAGAAAACTCAACAGTCATTGTCAGATCTAAAAGGAACGGTTAGTATTGTTTTTAGCGAAAGCTTTAACAAAGCATTATATATTAGCGCCAATAATTTCATTAGTCCAAGAAGATAGAGTGGTTTCGTTTCGCTATGTGAAGAGGAGCAATATTTTTTTAAAATCATTTCTCCTAAAATATGTTTAAATTACACAAGATTGTATTATTCTTCATCGCTCCTTTTAAACGCTACCTTATAGTCCCTATTTACATTTCATTGCCAGCTACCACTTAAATTATGGTCTGAAAAAGATTTGAAACACATTTTTGACTTTTTCCACTTGAATAACACCGTCTGCTCGTCCAGTGTCGGTGCTCTTAGGACGGTAATAACTATCTGTTCGAAACGGTGAGTTGAAGAGGGATATCGAAAAAACTATCCTCTCCTGGAAACAATCCAAAAAATCCTCAATTTCCAGATTAAGGAAAGTCTTGAGGTTTCAAAATTATTTAAAAGGCAACTTTCAGAAGTGTTCTGATGTTCATTTCATTTAGCCTTCTCTAAACATTTTAGTTGCAACGTACGGATGTACAAATGGAATGTGCACTGGTGGGCAACAACCACAGGTACAAAAATGTGACGGAACTTCATGTCAATCCTCTGTTTGTCAAGGAAAGATCTGCACCATCACGATACGAACATGTAAGTTTTTATACTCCTTATATCAGTAGGTTTTTTGCATGTCGTTTAGAAAAAACAAAAAAAAGACCCTTGGAAATGAAAAGAAGTCAAAGTGAAGATGAGAAATTGTCGACAGAAATCCAATTCTGCTCCAACTTGCGGCAAACCGTTGAAACTTCCTTTTATGAAATCTAATTTAGACTGTTCAAATCCATGTGGTCCAAATGGTCAGCTATGCTGTGACAAACCGGTAGCTAAACTTAGAAAGTTGACTGAAACAGCTTCTAGCGTTAGTTATGTGGTTTCAGAAACCACAACCTGTACCACAGCCACAGCCACAGCCACAGCCATTGCCACAGCCACAACCGCAGCCTCAGCCTTACTGCCCATCGTGTGAACCTTCTATCATAGTTCCACAGCCGATTCCTCAGATTCCTCCCCCAAATGTCATAGTATCGCAAGTGCCGCCTCCCATTGTGGTAAGCTGACAGGTTAAGAATGCCGATTACAGTAATTCTTGGTGGTTCTTCCAGATGCAGTGCTGCATCTGTTGTATGCCACTTTGTGCTACACAATGTATCATGTTTGGTGGCTGCATGTGCACGATGGGAGGATCAGTTGCCTTCTTCGGGAAGTGAAATACTGCCGACAAGTATTTTTCTGCTGCTTTTGTCTCAAAACTGCCTGCTTTTTGCCTTCTGCTTGTTGACTGCTGGGATATGGTAATTAAAAGCTTTATTACTTATAATTGACTATATAATCACGAATAAATGGCAATATGCATACTGTACTAACTTACAATAAAACCCAATTATTATAAGGCTAGAGATCTGACTAAGTTTGCGTTAAGTATAGGATAATCTGTTACTTATCCCATCATAGCACCCATCATTGCACCCATCATGGCTCCTTGGAGTGGATGCATTCTTCCCATGCCTCCATACATTCCTCTACCATATCCACCGTACATTCCTCGGCCATATCCACCATAGGGGCCCATACCTCCATATGGGCCCATACCTCCATAGTGATGCATACCTCCATAGGGATGCATGCCTCCATAGTGACCCATGCCTCCATACGGGCCCATGCCGCCGTATGGTCCTGAAATCAGAGGAGAGCATTTTATACATCTATAGTAGGAGAAGATAGGCAACTTACCGTACATACCATGACCCATACCATACGGGCCATATTGACAAACTACCGTACCAATGTAGGCGAGTACGATTGCAAGGGTGAAGAGGAATTTCATATCTAGGACGAAATATAGTACTGGCTGTAATACTGCAATTTGGTTAATTGGAGCAGTAAAACGTGATGAAAAAAGGCGAAAAATGTAATCAAATCCATAACGTCGCTAAAATTTGGTAGAAAAATCAAACAGATATCCAAAAAGTTGTCTTGAGACCTAGGACGTTCAGAAACGAGCACCAAATGCTTGGTGAATGAAGGGAAACTGTCCAAGTTATACCACTAATGAAACAAGTTTTGTACTTGTTTATAAACAACAAGCATTGCTTAACATGCCGAGACCAATCAACTCGTCGCTTTTATACACGACTCGGCCGATAGAATATTAGCTTTAAACTTTTGCGCCTGACAACGGACAATGCGATGACGAAAACGATGCGAATGGGTGAAACAAAGGTGATGACCTCGCGATAACCACGCCATTTAACCTTAATCGAATGATTTTAAACCTAAATGGACGCTAAAAAGTTTTAACTAGTTGAAGATGCTTGTTTTATTAGGATTAATGTCAATCAGCAAGCAAATTGATCTACCTTGACGAAAAAGAACAAAGGAAAAGTCGTGCGGGTCCGAACATCCGAGGAATTTCTGTTTTAACCTTACAAACATAATTAATACGTCTACAAGTCTTCTATAAGGCTTAAGAGTACATCTGCGCGAGAAATTCAATTGCACATTTTCGGTAATCCATTTGAACCACTTTCTATAGGAATAGCCAATGAATAGCCTCCAAATGCTTTGAAAACCTACGAGAATTAAAAAACAAAACCGTACCGTGTTAGATCTCCGATATAGAACTACGGGCGACCACAGGTCTTTGATTGGCAAAAAGTTTTTTGTTCCATAATTTTGCTTTCCTCATATAGCACTTGTGCACTCCTTGACCCAACTTTTAGCGCAATAGCCAGATCCACTTTCTCCCTTCCTTGATAGGACCCTTTTTGTTTTATAAGGAGAAAACGCGCTCCAAAAAAACATCGCAGCTGTACTTGCCTTATTTGCACATGCTTCTAATGGAAGAGGCTTCATGATATTTCGGGTTTTCGAGCGATTTCCTCGTGTCAAGACTTGAGTAAGCTGAAGTAAAATATAAAACTTACAAGTACTAGCATCTATAGACTATTTTGAGAACTATATTTTAGAAAATGCAGTATGAGGATTACTGGAAAATATGGCTTGCATGCGAATTTTGAGAAAAAAATAAAACCAAGATTGTTTGATTCCATTCTTGCGATAAAGATGTGTAAGAGTTGTATTGCATTGAAGGAAGGTCAGGAACCCATTAACAACCCAAAAAAATTGGACTCCGCATCTTATGAAAGTAGCACAGAAATCACCACACGATAACTCGATCCAGAGCGTAGGGAAGGTAGGTTTTAGAATGAATGAGCTTACGCTCAGACAAATTTAAGGTGTGCTCATTCAGATGCATCAAAGTGCAGTGAAAGACTGTCAATTTACTTTTACACTATCATTCGTGCAGCAATGCTGCAAAGACTTCTGCAAAATACTAGAAGAGTGATGACGGGCTTTTGCATTAAATGAAACCAGATTGAACTCTGTAGTTATGGGGAGTTGATCCAAATTCTTTACATCTACAAAATCTCTACAATA